CGAAAATTTTCAACAGACAGTAATATAGGTTTGTTAAAGGAAGCAAGCGAAAATTTTCAACAGACAGTAATATAAGTTTGATAAAGGAAGCAAATGATTGTTTTCAACAGGTAGTAGTATAGAGTTATCAAAGGAAGCAAATAATTGTTTTCAATAGATAGCAGAACTGATCTATTAAACGAAAAAATTTTTTATTTTTTTATTTGCCTTTATCTCTAGTTACACGAGAATACTGAATTCAGATTTTTAAATTTCCAAAATTTTTGATTGTTTAAACAGTGTATTAGTAAAAAGTTAAAGCTACTAATTCAGTTTCATAGTTTAAGTTTTGATAGCATAGTTTTGAAAATATCAACTGGAAAAGGAAGTATTAGAGCAAAAAGCAAGAAGTGTTCAACTTGTCATATATAGTTTATGGAAGTAGTTTTTTTTATAAGAAAAATTGTTTCTTAAGAAGCTTGTGTGAATGTCATAGCTAAAATCAAGTTTACACAAGAAAAGTATTGTAGTTTAAGTTGAGAATGTATGTATTGTGTAGGAGTTTTAAGTAAGATGTTTATAGATATGCAAACAATTAGAGATTTTATTCTAGATTTTAATATATATTTGATAAATAAACATGGAGAGGGACATCAAAACTAATTTGTAATAAAGCTGATTTTCTAAGGTAGCTTTTCAACAACCAAAGTATTTCAAGGTTACAGTATTTTCAAATATTTGTTTCAATTTTACATTCATTTTATTATTGTTATAAAAGCATTTCTGACAGTACTATAAACACAGACTTTAGGTTGCAGAGAAAAAAAAAATAGCACTTTATGTGAAGTAGTGTTTCAATATGTGCCCGTAATGTTTTTTTTTAATATTTATTTGTATATATTATATATACATCTGTTATTATTGCTATATCTTATTATGGCTGAATAAGTAGAAGTTATTCATTGCTCTGGATTTTTAGATTGGACAAAATTATTTAGGCTTAAAGAATGTTTGAACAGCTTTACTTTGCAGATGTAAGAACAAGACATCTTAAAACCTTTGTTACTGAGGGAAATATCTTCACAAATTTGGTTTACAAGCATTGGGATAATAATGTTGATTTTTCTGTTAGTTAACAAGAATGTTGTAGTCTTACCAGCCATTAAGATATATTGAAGGGGAATTATCAAACATGTATTAATGTTTGACATTGAGTTACGAAAGCAATAAATTGAAAATCTTCTTTGGTACTTCATTAAATGATGATGAAATTTTGTAGCAGAAGATATTGAGTTTAGGAAAATTATGTCTGTTGAACATTACTTTGTTTAAAAGAAAGTCTGTGTAAAGTATTATAATTCCTGTTAAAAATGTAAAAAGACTTTGTCCATTTTTTAAAAAATCATTTTCTGTTTCCTACCAAGGCCTAATTAATATTTGAACTAACAGAGATAAATGTTATCTCTGTACAAATGGATGGAGTTAAAACTTCTGATAAAAACATTTTCTTTCTTCCACATATACTTAGTGTATTAAACAAACGTTATGTGTTTATTGAAAAAATTATTATTCCAGAAAACTTGATAACTGTGTTTCAAACATTTTGTATTTTGATACATATTAAGAAGTACAAGTGGTTTGTGATGATAAAGTGTATGCAACTATGGTATTCTAAAAATACCTAGCATGATTGTTGTTGACTTTCTGCTATTATTTCCTTGAGTTATTGTCCTTGATTCATAGTGTTATTGGCAGCTGTTTTTTGGGTTTTATACCAAATTTTTGATTCTCAGTATAACAGTCTCTTAGTTAATCTAATTTACACCAAAACAGCTGTTGTTCATGCAAAAAAGGATGTAAATAGTGCCTTGACAACTACTATTGTTGTATACCAGCCGGCCTGATAAGCCCTGGTATTGGTCAAAGAGCCTCATCGACACTGAATATAGCAGATGTAATGTGGTTGTTATATTCTTTACTTTCACTCATAAGAAATAAGGTTTTATTAGAAATTAAAAAATGAAGAATAGAAAGTTCCTTTTGAAAATCCAAATACATTGTGAGTTAAAACTTGAATATACAATAAAAACAGCAATTGGCAAGTGTAATAAAATAAACCAATGTTATCTAGGGACATGTCGATGTAACATTTCAAAAAGTAATCATATGACCTTTGCATTGGCAGTTTGTAGATGTTTTAAATTCCTTAGTCATACTTAAATTTATTGTGCCTTTATATAGACAGATTCAAGTGTTTTATTCCTACATTTCTTATTCACAGATGTTCATGTTTGTGCCTTTGTACTGGTTGGTTAAAAAGTGTTTTACCTTTTCCTTGCACAGAATGTTAATGTGTGCTCACATTTATTGTGCCTTTATACAGATCAAATAAAATAACACTTCCAAGCTAACTCCACATTTATATAATAATGTAGAGCTAGTTCATAAGTGTAACTTTGTTTTGTTAGTTATTTAAGTTATACCAAAGCCTTCAGTTTTAATTATGAGTGAATTCCAGGTTGTTGTGCCAATTATAGAAAATCTTAGAATATTAAGCTTTTATTTAAAGTAATGCATGCTTCTATAAACACCTAATCTCAAAAATTTAGTAAAATTACACTTCTAACAAATCATTTTTTATATAATAAAACTTAGTTGGTATAATATATAGTATTTGTATTTTACACAATATTTAGGCTAATGTTGCTGTATATTTGACAAAATTGATTTACATTTACATCGGGATTTTATGTTTTAACACTAAAACAACTGTAAATAGCTAATGATAGTTTTAAAGTGTTGAGTATGTTATTTTATTAGAACTAACTTATCATTTAGTAGGCAATGTATTACTATAATGCTTGGTTTAGTAACCTAAGTATTTAAAAAGTTTGTTTCACAGAAAATTTGATGTCATTCTTTTAGCATTGTTGCTTATTTGAAGAATGGTAAGGTTGCCAAACACATAAAGATTGTTGTTCAAATTCATTAACATAAAGTGTTCACTTGGAATCTTGTCTTTCTTTGTTAAACTTTTCTCTTGTGCTGTTGTAGTTTGTCTAAATTATTAACAGTTATAATTTTTACTATGAAAGTGTGGACAATACATTTATTCACTACTAATTACATTCAGTTATAATATATAGTTGCACAGTAATCCCTCGATAACTTGGAACATATGGGGCTAAAGCCATGCCAAGTTACCAAAAATTTTGAGTTATTGAGGTAATTTCCTCCCACCCCCAAATCACAACGTTTTTGGCCCAAATAAACTACTATGCACCACTGTTGTTTGAAAATAAAGTAAATTAAAAAAGAAAGATGATGATTCAAGCTTATGATGCCGTGTGGACAGAGGTGATTGTAGGAGGGCTTAACACACTTTGGTAAATACTGTACACTACTTAAACAATTAAAAATTAAAGATTAGTTTATTTACATTTATTTTGTTTAGTTAAATAAATTATTCACTGTCTGAAGACATCAATTGTCGTGGGAGTTCTGGGGTAATGTGAAGGAAGCTGGAATTGGTGTCTTAGGAAGAGTATCCAGATGATGCAGGCAGATTTATGGAGGTTTCACTGCTGGTGGAAGGAAGATTTGATCTGGATTTTTTGACAGGGGTTTAAAAAAGTCAAATATTTTCCCCTGTTTGTAATTGCTGTGCTGATGCTTGATGAAATCTGCCCTGATATCTCTCAAAGTTGCATAGTGTTGTTCCAAATTAGGCAACTGCCTCTAAGGCCTTGTCCAAGTATAACCAAAGATCTGATAATTTGGGTTTTGTAGTGGGGTCTGAGAGACACTAACAGCTATCTCTTCCTCTGTATCATGACAAAACCCAAGCTCTTCACTATCCTTCTCCAGCCACTCCACAATGTCATCCTCTGACACCTCTGTCTTGCCACCTTGGTGTAGCAAGTTCACAGAGTACTCGGACACAAACCCAACAAAGTCTATCTCAACCTCAGTGTCTTTGAAGTGTTTGTTTCATGCATTACTGAGGGTTAATACACCGAGGTTTTTCCATGCTTCTGCCCAGTTAAACACTGCATTGCAAATGTTGTACTTTTTAAAGTTTTCCAAAGTGCAAACCCCCCTTTTATCATTATATTTGTCACTTTCATCTTCCAACACCACAAGGCACTATCCCAAATGCTTGTTCCTGTAGTGTCGTTTGCTGACTCACTGGTCCGTGGGTTGAATCAAGACACTGGTGTTAGCAGGCATGAACATGGCCCTCAAGCTCTTCCAAAGAAGGGTGGGCAGGGGCATTGTCGCTTGAAGGATGGCCTTCACATTGTCTCTCACAACACCCAAGAAATCTGCCTGTTCTTGATCATGGCAGGTACAAAATGGCTGTGGAACCAATGGTGGAACAGCTCTTGAGTAAACCAGGCAGTTTTAATCCCCTGGTAGATCACTGGTAAGCTGTTTATAATGTTCTTGAGTGCCCTTGGTTTCCTTGCCCACAATCATTGGTTGAAGTCGGTGAGTGCTGTCAGCATTCACATGGCAGAGAATGAAGATTTGATCCATTGCCATCTGCCTACCAGGTATGTGGGGCTTGTGCCTAGCAGCCTGTGTGTTGGTAGGCACAGCTTTCCAGAAGAGCCCCATTTCATCTCCATTGTATATCTGGGCCATGAGGAGTTGCGAATCTTCCATAATCTTCTCTAGCTGCTTTCTGAAGGGCTCAACGCTGTCGTGATCAGTGCTTGCTGACTCCCCTGCAACTTGTCGATTCACTAAGCAATGACAAGCCCAAAAGTTGAACAGCCAGCCACTACTTGCAGTAACACCTTCAATGTTCAGGTGCTGTGCGAGGCATGCTGCAGCATTTTGAATGGCCACACTTTATATGTTAACACCAGAAGTGTGCTCCTGCTTGTACCACACTGCTCAGTCCAAGTTGGAATATTTAGCAGGCTTTATCCTCTTTTGGGTCTTATTGGAACTGCTTGGATCCTCCAAACTTAAAGCATGCACCTTAATCTTTTCCCTGCTCATCATGAAATGTGCTTGTTTTGATGTCAAACTTCTCACACACATTACGCATGGATGCACCTGCACCCACCCTCTCCAAAACTTTCTTTTCTTTAAGACTAAGGAATTTTAACTTCAGTCCCTTTCTATAACTTCTAGAGGCCATATTTGTAAGGGTTAAATAACACTTGGAACACAATAAATAAGACAAAATACATAGCAATGGGTAATGAACAATGCACAGTACACTGACCAAAGCTCAACTGAGGGAGAGACTGCTTGAGTACTGCATGAAATTATATTGCCGCTTAGCAACTTGGAATGTAGCTAGTTATACCCCTATTGCCCCAGGTATCCTTTACTGCGTATGATACAAGATTTTAGTGATTTACATTTAATATTTTATTAAACTACTTCTTGTTTATGTTATAGCAATTAGTATAGCATAAAATCTAAGCTAATAATCCATACTTTGATAGTATGTATATGTTTCAAGTTCTTAATTCTATATGGCAATATTTTTAAAAATCCTGAATTTCCCCTAGTGTGACAAACGTAACACATTTTCTCTAGGTATATATTCTCCCTCTCTATTTTATCCACCCCCCTAAAAATCTGGAAATTCAATGTAAATTACCCGCTATAAAATCGTCATTGCTCAGACGAACCATAATTTTTATAGCCTTCGATTTTGTTTGGTTACAGAGCTATCAAATAGAAAATCAGATCCCTCCAGTCACATACTCTCTTTCAGGATTCATTAATAGTTTTCTCTTACGTTTAATTATGTATTATCTACAACCAATGTGATGTATTACATTTTGCTCTGAACAGATACATGTATATTTATCTTATAAACGAAATTTTCCCATGAGAAAGTTAGCCATTTGCTTGGGAGAATTAGTAAGGACTCTTCTCGCATAGTTAGAAAGCCTGAATATTTTTCAGGGATGCAGAGTTATATCAAATTCCAAGTTATCAAGGGATTAATGTATTCCAAAAATTTCTGATAAGAGGTAGAATGTCAATTCTACTGCAGTAAGAAAAGATGAAGTGCAATTATGTGAATGGAGTACATTCTTGTATCATGAAGTGATTTATCCTAATCTGTTTATTTTAATATGTCATTTGCTATAAATCAAGTTTTGTAGATAGGAGACATGATTTCTGTTATTGGAATAACTCTCACGTGTATGATTTGTACCAGTAGTATGAAATACAAATGTTATTAACATGTTATCATTGAAATATTTTTCATGTAATGAACAACCGATGAATCAAGCTATAGTTTTTGTTACATGTTTTTGGATCATCCATGATGATTGGAATGGTTGTAGTTTATTTCTTTTGGCCTAACCAGGTTGCTCAATGTAAAATGTGATGTTTTGGTTTTAATGCTCATCTGTTCCTGTACAGTTTGTGTAAAACAGAAAACCAATATCAGGAAAGTTTTGAAGTTAAATCTCTTCTTATACTGCCATGGTTTGAATTTGATATCTTTCCTTCAACTTCTTGTATTATTACTAATTATATGTTGTTATTTCAAGTCTTTAGGAGTAATAGTGAAGGATTGAAAGCTGATGGTTTGTAAACAGGGGACCTTGGTGTGTACACAGCACATTTTCAGTATTTCTGAAAATATTTTTTATAAGTGATATATAACAAAGAATGTGTAGGTTATTTTGATAAAAGTTTATGTAACTAGATAGTCTTTGAATGTACAAGTTCTAACAATATAAAATGTTAACAAACTTATTTTTAAATGTACGTTTTAAAAGGTTATTACTGGATTTAACAGTTTTAAATAGGACTGGTGATTATAGTAACAGGTAAGCTCTAATGATTTTTAAGTTCTGCAAGTATACCACCTGCTCCTGATCTTTCAGATTACACTGGCTTAACTGTAGGATAAAATTTGCATCTTTTTGTTTCAATGAAACTGATAACTTAACCTAAAAGTTTTAATAATGAACTTAAATCAACTGTATCATTGAGCTTATATATAAGTAACACAAACTACAACTAAGACTAAAAGATTACACTTCCAGACAGTTTACATTCTAGTGTTTTAATGTGCATAAAGTCTATGATTATTTTTATAATTACCCAGTAGAGGTTTTTTTAACCAACAGTAAATAATAGATATACCAATGGAACTGCTGATTGATTGGTTATTGAATCCAAATCATGGAAATAGTCACAAAAGTAAGCTATAGTAAATGTCCCAATATATTGGAACCTCAAATTCTGCATTATAAGATTAAGATAATGGCAACTGTTGAGTCACATAAGTAGTATTGTGTGTAAATCAAGAACTTTGTAAAATTTTACATTACTGTGTGAAACTAGTAAATTTTGACTATTTAAATGATGCAAAATAATATTTTTATTTGCGTAGTTTTTGGCAACCCTTATGTAAGACAAATGTAATAATGGGTCCAATATGTAAACCTGAGCTGTATAAAGAAAAATCGGTAATAAAGATTGCTACTTTCAGTATTTGTTGAGATCTGTTAATCTGCTTCATTTTAAAACTCACTAAAACTCCCTGTTCCAAATGTAAATTACACAGCAAAGTAGTAAATACTGATAAATTTTAACTCAATTTGCCTAACAGTGATAATTTATTCTTCCTCTGTAAAGATTAACAAGGCTCAAGATACAGACATCATTTGTGTACAATCTGGATAGATTACAAAGGATCAACTACTGAACACACACACACACACATTTATTAGTATGATGACATTCTCTGTAAAACTACAATAGTATACATTTTCTATGTTAACTTCTAAATCGCCAGTTGAACACACACCCATGTTAAGTGATGTGTCAGATTCTCCCACCTCTACAATGTGATGAACATAAGCAGCTCAAGAAATACAGTAACTCCTGTAGTCCAAAAGCCAATACAGCAAATTTTTGGTTATCAATCATGTTTGTATTTTAACTCATTAAAACATTCTACTGCTACTAATATATAAGCTGTGTAAACTGTACAAACATTTAGTTCCATTTTTAGTCATACTTTTGTGAAAAACTAGTAATGCCTACAAAGAATATTTACATTTGAATATGTTCTAGCATATGAAGATAGTTAATAACAATACCATCTGTTACTTTGTATGCAAATTTAGATTGCTGTTCTTTTGCCACTCCCGGACACTTACTCTGTTTTAGTGCATTTAGTGAAAAATTCAAGATATTTCTCCTATATCACTGAAATATTTTCCTGAAAACTTTTGGACTGTCAGTTAATCACATATTTACTTCCTCCTTGGATTCCCTGTGTATGTACTTCTTCAGATTCAGGTGTCATTTTTCATTACTATCCCCACTCTGATTGAACATTCCCAAGAAAGATTTGGGGATTTGGAGGGAGGAGAGATGTAGGGAGATTTGGAAGTGATGCCAATTCTGGAGGTAGGGACCAAGCTTCTATATCAATGACAGAAGGTTGGTTGGTGGGCTTTATTTCTTTATTCATAGTTCTTTTAACTAGCCAAGAATCCAAATCTGGTTCCTTCTCTTCTTCACAATTGGCTGCCCCTTGTTTTCGAAGGCACTGCTGCTGAACTAAATAAACCACAAGATTTTTGTCAACAGCTGGATGAAATAATTCATCATACAATGTGTAAATTACATTCCTGGCATTTGATAACAAGAACCTTGAAAATAGTATGTACAGAACATCAAGAAACAGTATCCTTTAAACATAATTACTGTGTTATTCTTCAAGTGTACCATAATGTATGTATATATATATATATATATATATATATCTAAACAAATAAATGCAAGGAGTGCACTGATATTGAATACCTTATAAAGCCACATATATTATAACAGTAATAAAGATAACACAGTCTCTTGGAATGTGTGCTGTAGGTCACATTATTCAATACAGTATATGATTTAATTATTTGTCCTATATTAGTAATTTGTTACAAAAATAACTTATCTAACAATTCTTAAAACAGGTTTATAACTATCACACATAGAAGAATAACAGTGAATTGTAGTTTTTTTAAAATACTTTAAAAATCACATACACAAACATCTAGAGCTTAATACACTGTTTCTGACTTTTGTTTTGTTCGAAAAAAAAAAAAAAAATTAGGGATTTACTTATATTTATACAAATTTTTTTATAGTGAAAAATGCATCATCAGCTATTGTAAGCTCTACCATACAACATTTATAAAATAAATTCAAACCTTCTTCTCTAAGTTGTTGCATTTCCTCTGCAGTTATGTGAGAATACTTGCACCCTGGCCCAAAGTTGCAATAGCCTGAAATATCGTACAGTTATAGGTGATCAAATTTTTTCTTTAACATTTTAAAACTTTGGAATTATCCTTATACAATATTTATTTTTCAAAGAGTGAAAACAATTCACACTGCACATTCTTTTTAAATAAATTTATTGGAAATTGTAAAGACTGATATACAATTGCAATAAAGAACAGTATCTTTTAAAAAGCTAATTTAATATCCTGGGATACAATATTTTTATGTTTATCATTCAATGAAAATCCATGTGTGTATTAATATTTTTACTGCCAAAAAAATATTTTTTTTTAGCAGAATATAAACCAAATAAGTATTCCTGATAAATAATAACCCAAAACAAATAAAAAATTATGAACATCAAATAACTAATTCACCCATTTTCTGAAACTGGTGACAAGGCTTTTTCTCCATTTCATCCTTCAAAATCTCTTCTGGTTCTGTTTAGTGTTAAAAAGAATCAGTGGAAGAGGTTAAAATTAGAATAAAAATTCATAATGAATTACGTTTTTATAGAATTAAGTAGAACAAACAAACAAAACGGTATACAAACTAAACACTTTTATAACAAATTGTCCAGAGCTCCTAAAATTTTTTATCTAAATTATAAAGAGGAATATTAGCCTTATGTTTCAAGGAAAATTTAGGCTTATAAACTTAAACTTTGGACTTCTTCAAAACAATAAACCATATTTATACTATTACATCTCAGCCTTTCCTTTAAATTATCACGAAAAAACTACTAAAAGGTTAAAATTCAAGGAATTTGTGCAAATATTTAAAATATACTAAAATACTCAAATGATCAACGTTGTATAATACACAATTAAAATCTTTATTTAAAGACCAATCAATGGTCATAAGAGACACACTAAAAGTTTCAATATCAATTCACATCATCTTCATGAGTGTGAAAAAAGAATACTGTACAACCATATAAATACAAAAAGCCATGGTCAAGTGACTAATAGTTTATATATTTAAAACAATCACACCAGGTACATACTTTCTGATTTTCTAACCCTTCATTCTTATTGAAGATGAAATTATTTTTACTGTGTTTCATTATTTTTATAGTTTTTTTTTTTAATTTCAAAAAAATTTAGCATGTACAACCTGGAACATATGGTAAAAACAACATTATTTTTTTATCAAATGTGGAATTTAGTTTACTTTTTGAATCATTTGTTATTTTGTTAAATTTTCTCAAGGTTGTATCAAAAATATGAGATGAGAAACCACTATTTTAATGCTACGTATTGGTTTAATAACAGTTCATTTTTTAAAACTTCTGGATTAGAACATAGCTTTAAAGACCTATAAACATAAGAGTAAAAAGCTGACATTTTTTATGACTTTGTATGACATGATTCTTGGTAAGTAAAGTAAATTCCACATTTGATAAAACAAAAGATGAAATCAATCTAGTGGAGAAACCTGGTATTTATAAGATTGAATGTGAATGTGGTTATGAAAACATTGGTCAAACTAGAAGAAATTTAACATTTAGAATACATGAACATAAGAGAAACATTAAAAACAAAAGTGAAAATTCTACACTACCTGACATGCAAATTATATTGGTCATGTCATCCAGTGAAAAAAAAGTGTTATTTGGCTAACTGAATAATTTGATGGCTAGAAATATTAGAGAAACTATACAAATAATAAAACAGTAAAAATAATTTTATGTCAAATAGGTATGAAGGGTTATAAAATAAAAAAGTAAGTAGATGGCATGATCTTTTTAAATATGTAAACTAGTATTCACATAACCGTGGTTTTTTGTATTTATATGGTTGCACAATATTTGTTTTTTACAAATGTCGAAACATATAGTGTCTATTACAACCATTGATTGGTTTTTAAATAAAGATTTTAATTGTATATTATACAACGTTTTTTGATGATGAAAAACACCAGCCCATTGCAGCATTTGTTGTACTGCTGTGAAAATTTGTGAGCATTTTGATTGGTCAAAAAGGATGTATTTGACACAACCCCTTCACCCAGATAAAGGCACTAAAGAATCTATAAAAAAGTGTTAGTTTGGGGGAAGTTGTAAATGCGAGCATTCTAAATGTGCTTTGTGCATAAAATACAGTCGCAATTGCAAGTGAAGTACTGATTGCACTATGAACAAGAGGAGTAAGAAAAAATTAATTATTTTGATGAGAATGAGATTGAATTTCAGGATTGTAGTGATGCTAATGAATATCAGAATGATGTTGATGATGGTTCGATTGAATCTCTGGTTTCAAATGATGCTGATGAAGTTCAGGATGACTTTGATGTGTCACTCCTGTTTCTCAGAAATGGCACAGAAGCCAATTGAAGCCACTGACTACTGGTATTCCTGATTATTCTGGTTTAGATTCCAGCTCAACTAATAATCTACTTGGCACAGATAGGTTAGACTTCCCATTGGAGACTGAAATTTTCCAACGTATCACTGCCTAAGTAGCACAGTACAAGGAGCATGGGTCAATTCACACTGTTCACAGGGGCATTCAAAATCCCTTTAGAAGCACTTTGGTAAACATAGTTGTCGAATCAGACTTCACAATTACTCCTAAAGCAACTTTGGCAAAACTCAACATCATTTATATGGGCAACAGGGAAATTGCCACTTATCCAACTGCTGCTAAGGTTAAGTCATTCATTTTTCAATTTAAGAGTAAGCATAAAAAAGCAAAACAACATGAGAGTGCAAAGTATCAATTAAGATTAAATAATGGATAAGTCCCTTATCATTGTCTACTACCAGGTTACATACTGTCTGTTACTGTTCTGGTAGTGCATTCAATAGCTTGTAGTTTCATCATTAATTTCTCTTAACTAGTTAAAACCTAAAAACACTTCTTTGGACGTTTCTGTATCTACACTTTTCAAGCCATCTCCAAGCTGGAACTAAAGAATGTTATCCTGACTCATGAGCGATGTGTTGTAATATTTTAAAAACAAACCAATTCATTCAATCACCATAGAAAATAGACATGTATATATAGGGAAACAACTTCAACATGAAATTATTAATTCCAAACTTGTTAAGTCCAATAGTCTTAAAGTACAAGACTGAATATAGCATGTAAGTTACTAAATTCTTTAACAGCAAGGCATTGCCTCAATTTTTGTATAACTCTATCCATACATTGTCTGAATATTTCTAGGTTATATTTCATATATTTTGTACATAAATGTTATACTCCAACAAATTATACAAATGTTTGTCTTTAAGATATTAAATTAAATGCTCCATCCAAAATTAACCAAATTTTTTCTTGAACATAAACATCCCACAATCTATAATGATTTGTGAAATATGGTAGTGGAGTATATAAATATAAAAATTTGTAGAACAATGTATTTGTCTCCAAATTCTAACCAAACCTTTATAAGCATCATAATGAAGTTTACAAAGTCGCTGATGCTGAACTCCTTGTATATGTTTCTTTCTGTTGTCAGCACTATCAGGGAAGCTGCGGTCACAGTAGTCACAATAGTATCGTTTACCCATCTGGAAAAATAAGAGTAATTTAATTTTAACTTAAGTAGTTTTATTCAAGGGATCACCTCCACTATATAGAATAAAGCATAAAACTGACAATTTAAGAATTCCTATATTAATGATATATATAAAAATCATAGAGTAAAACAAATTTTCTCTGCAGGTAGATTATAAAACTGGAATTACCACATTCATTATTGTGATAGGAAACTGATATTAGCAGCAAGTAGACATTTTTCAGTGTTTAGAACTTTACCAGACTTTCATTTTATATTAATAAAAATACTGAAAGCAAAAAAATTATATACCAATAATATTTTATTCAATGGATAATTACTAATAATATGAATAATATACTTGATAAAATATAAATTAATAATTAAGTTTTTTATGCTTAATCCAACTTCTTTTAAATGATAAATGGTGTAAACAGCTTTTTCAAGTCATTTAGCACATCAAAACAGACCCTGAATAATGAATTACTGAGCAATTTGTGATAAAGGAAACTTTTTAAGGCCAGAACAAATTAACAACACTGTCTTCAGACATTGCATTTTAATGCAACACTGAATATTTTATATGCCTCACCCGAAATATACATTTCGTTGAGCTAGAATAGACTCCAAGCACAACACCCTAACTAAAAAGGTTCTAATGCTAAGACAAGAAGAGGTTAATATCAGCTTGTTCTGGCAAGATTCTCACTGATAACAATACTGCCATTCAACAATGAATATCTGTTATCCCAGTCAGGTTTGGCTTAACAAGTTACTACAAATTATATTACATCATTAGACACAGTACTTTTAAACAGTATACAAGCATACTGTTATAGTTCACTGAAAAATGCTTTACTAATTTTCATACAATATAATTAACTAAATTAAGTCGATAAAAATAAATTGTTGGATTATTTGTAACTTCTGTAAGAATGTTTGTTAGATAAACTTTAGTTGCTTGTTCAGCACATTAAGCAGCAAGTTACAAGGCATGCTAAAAACTTTACCTTACTTAAATGAAGTAAAAGTAATCCTGATATATACTGTAGAAATATGACTATCTTACTTGTTTCTGAGTCCACTGCCTTTTGCAAGAAGCATCATCAACACGAGGATGTACATTGGGTATTAATAGGGAAAGGATGATATATGTGATGATTGCTCTCTTTTTCCAAATTACCTTATAGCAATTTACCATTGGATTTTTTTATTACTGTTCCTGCACTATAATAAAAAGAAGACACCCATACAACTAAAACATATAACAGCACTACCACTATATTTGTGAAAAATATAAATATAGAAGCATCATCAACAGGAACCCTATTAATACCCAATGTACATCAATGGATGATATATGTGAAGATTGCACACTTTTTCCAAATTACCTTACAGCAATTTACCATTGGGTTTTTTTATTACCCTTCCTGCACGCACGCACACACCTCAAGTAACAAGAAAATTCAACCCAACCTTTATTTTTAAGGAAATAATCAATTTCCCTCATAATCATTGTAAGGAGTTCGCCTCCACTACTGCCAATAGCAACTCATTCAATCTACATGGTCTATTACATTACTAAATATATATATATATAAATTTACCAGGGGAAAACTCTGCTATCTCTGTAAAAAATGTGTGGTATGCCTCTGCTATCATCAATGGTGTCATTAAACATAATCTGAACACAAAATCCAGCAGTAAGCAATTTTGAAATAGATGAAACTACATTACTTTATTACCTTTTCTTTCATGGCACTGTCGATACATAAGTTAAATATCACAATCTAACATTCAGCCAAATGATAACAAGAATATAGATTATATTTATAGTATAATTCACTTTTGTAATATGTGTTACACCATTCCTTACTAATAGTATACCGAGATATCAACCTGGTAGTGGTAGTGATATAACCATAAAATATTTAATTTCTTTTGCAAGGAATGCTAAACATTCTATTAAAAATTAACAGTCTTGCAATGCTAAAATCCGGGGTTCGATTCCACTTGAAGAACAAAGTGCAGATAGTCTATTATATAGCATTGCGTAAAAGCAAACAAAAAACTGCGATCTTACAATTTATACTAAACTTAAATATTTAGTTTAAACGTTGTAACGTCGAAACATGTAGAGTCAACTTTTTGAAGGCCATAGATAGGCCTAAATAA